GGGGGGGGGTTGTGCTTCAACTCGCCTAGGGCACCAAAATGGCTAGAGCCAGCACTGAGCCTGACAGAGTAAAATCTGTCTGAGGTTAGACTGAGGGCGAAAAAAAAGTAGTTTCAGACAATGATTTAAAACAAACTGCTTTAAAACTCCATCTCCTTCTGCTTATCTGTATTCGGGTCGCAGAGGCAAKAGGTCCAGGAGAGAAACTCAGACCTCCCTCTCCCCAGCAACACTTTCCAYSTTGTGCTGGGGGACACCAAGGAGTTCCCCAGCCAGAGAGGATATTTAATCCCTCCATCGAGTCCTGGGTATTCCCCGGGGCCTCATACAAGTGGGATGTATCTGGATCACCTCTGAAGGGAGGAATCCTAATCAGATGCCCGAACCACCTCAACTGACTCCTTTTGAGGTGGAGGAGCAGCGGCTCTACTCCCAACTGCCCTTGGATGACAGYTCTTCTCACCCTATCTCTAAGGCTGAGCCCGGCCACCCTATGGAGAAGGTTCATTTCAGCCTCTGGTATCCAGGATCTTGTTCTTTCTGTCATGATCCACTCTTCATGACCATAGATGAGGGTAGGAACAAAGACCAGTAAATCAAGATCTTTCAACTCAGCTCTTTCTTCACCACGACTGACCAAAGCAACCTCATTACTGAGGATAAGGCCCCAATTCGTCAGTCCATCTCCCACTCCATCTTACCATCACTCGTGAACAAGACACCCAGATACTTAAACTCCTCCACTTGAGGCAGAGACTCTCCACAGACCTGGAGGGGGAATTCTACCCATTTTTGATCGAGAACCATGGCATCAGACTTGGAGGAACTGACTTTAATCCRAGCCACTTTACACTCAGCTGCAAACCARCCCCGTGCACGCTGAAGGTCTTGGCCCGAAGATGCCAACAGAACCACATCATCCGCATACAGCAGAGATGAGACCCTGTGGTTCCCAAACCAGACCCCTTCCTCTCCATGACTGCACCTTGAGATCCTGTCCATAAACACTACAAACAGGATCAGAGAAAAGGGACAGCCCTGGAGGAGTCCAACACGAACTGAGAACAAGCTAGACTTTGTGCCAAGAATGCAAACACAGCTCCTGCTTTGGTTCTACAGGGACTGGATTGCTCTTAGTAGCAACCCAGACACTCCATACTCCCACAGCACCCTCCACAGAATGCCTTGAGGAATATGGTCATAAACCTTCTCCAGGTCTACAAAACACATGTAGACTGGAAAGGCTAACTCCCACAACCCTCTTAGCAACTCTGCAAGGGTCAAGATCTGGTCCACCATTCTACCCCCCCCCCCCCCCCACCCCGGATGAAAGCCACACTGCTCCTCTTGAATCCAAGATTCAATGACTGATTGGTGCCTCCCTTCCAACACCCTGGAGTAAATTTTCCTGGGGCGGGTAAGAAGTGTGATCCCATAATTGTTAGAACACACTCTCTGGTCCCCCTTTTTAAAAATGYGAACCACCACCCTAGTCTGCCACTCCTCAGGTGTTGTCTCATTCTCCATGTGATGTTGAAGAGACAGGTCAACCATGACAGCCCCACAGCATCCAGAGCCTTCAGTATCTCAGGGCGAATCTCTTCCACCCCTGGCTCCCTGCCACCTCTGCCATGGTAATGGACTTGTCTTCCCCCGAGTCTTCAGACCCTGCCTCCTCTAAGGTGGACATGAAAGGTGGATTGAGAAGACCCTCGAAGTGTTACTTCATTGATATCCTCAGTCCGTGTCAGCATTTCCKCACCCAAACCACAGCATGGGACAGGCCAACAGTTTGCTAGAACCTCCTCAAAACCAYTCAAAAGTCCTTCTCCATGGCCTCCCCAAATTCCTCCCGTGCCAGAGATTTTGCATCTGCAACCTCCAAAGCTGCGTCCCTCTTTGACCTCCTGTACCTGGAGGTCTTTTGGTTGCTGCTGCGACAGGCCCCAATGACCTTCAGACCACAGCTCCTTGAAGCCGCATTTGCAATGGAGGCCCTGAACATGGCACATTTGGATTCCATGCCCTTGACCTCCCCCGGGGCATGTGAAAAACAGGTGAGATTTGAAGATTYCACAGACAGGGAGCTCAGACAAATGTCCCCAGTTTACCCTCACTATACATTTAGGTTTACCAGGTCTGCCCCTCTCTTCACCCAAATGTCCAAGACATAGTGCCGCAGGACAGACGACATGATTACAAAATCGATCATCGACCTTTGGCCTTTAGGCGGCCTTGTACCAAGTACACTCATGGACCACCCTATGCTCAAACATGGTGTTCATTATGGACAACCCATGCTTAGCACAGAAGTCAAATAACAACACCATTCAGGTTCAGATCAAGGAGGTCGTTTCTCCCAATCACCCACTTCCAGATAACTCAGAACCTTCCCTCCTGCAGCACGAAGCCGAAGYGGCAACCCTCTCYTCCACCAGAGTGAACTCCAACACAGAGGCACACAGCCGGGGGCTTGTGAGTATCCCCACACCCGCCCAACACCTTTTTTCCTGAGCAACTCCATAGGAGAGAGTCCAGTCCTTCTCCAGGAGTTGGGTTCCAGATCCCAAACTGTGAGTTGASGTGAGCCCAACTATATCTAGCTGGTAATGCTCAACCTACCTCACCTATAAGCTGCGGCTTCTGTTCTGCGACTGAGGTTATGTTCCATGTCCCCAGAGCCACCAGGAATCAGCACGG